TTTGCCATCGGTAGCATTGATGTCTGCCTTGGCCTTCTTCAAAGCCTCCTGCATGACCTTGGCCCTTTGGCAGCGGGATTGCCTTTCTTCATTGCCAACCATCTTTGAGATCAAGATCTGAGTAGGCATTTTGATTCCATCCCTAGCCTTTTGCACCAAGCTTTCCAATTGGTTCTCATGATCGATGATCTCCTGCAACTTCTGTTGACGTTCCTCATGGTCGTCTGGCATGACCAAACCCAATGAAGAGAAAAATTCTGCCATACCATCACCTTGACCTTGACCGTGTTTTCCGTTCTTGACTTTCACACCTGCTTTTGCCTTTGCTTTTGCTCGCTTTTTCTCAGCCGCATTTGCAGCCTTTGCAGCTGCCTTGCTTGCTGTGGTGATCATGCTTCTGATCTGCTTCTCAATGTTTGCCTTTTTGTCTTCCATCTCCCGTGCAAGCCCATCCTCTAAGTCAGCATGTGGATACAAGCATTGAAATGTCATCTCAAACCTCACATGGGGTAGTGATTCCACTCTCAATACCACCTCATCATGAGCATCCTTGTTCTTGTCAGGTGAAGGGACGTAGGTCACATCAATGTCGGTGTAGGACTTGCCGTACTTGAATATGACAAAGTCAACATGCATGCCTTCCTGGTAGAAGTTGGATTGGTCCATTCTTGTCACAGACTTCGCTGACCACCCAGGAACACAGTAGTCGGAGGACACAGAATCTTTGCATGGTTCCATCCACCAATCAACCTCATACAAATGGCCAATCTTGACATAGGATTATAGTATTGTAATCAATGTCTACCAACCCCACAAATACTGTTAAGATTTGAAGAATGAACGCCATTGGTTGCCATCCCGTTGTTCAACTTATCGTTTGCAATGAAGCAAAATATATTATCATTCCTAGACCATGTAAATGTAACAGGTTGATTGAATAATATATGTCAAGTAACTCCAAAGACTTTGCAGCAAAGGTAACCACCTTTCGGCTTGCTCTGCACGATTTTGTTGACCAATGGCAAGCATAGATCCTTTTTCACCGGCAACTTTGCATACAGAGCCTCCGATTTGTTTGCAGCACTAAGATTCACATAGACATGGTCAAGGTGCATTGGAGCCAAAGACTCATAAGCCGACCACATTGCCCCATTGAGTTTCAACTCAATGAGTTTGAACAGAGAACCCTTAATGTCAGTCTCGGACATGTCGAGCTTGCCCCATTCCATGGACTTCATGATCACTTGCTTAAAGCTATCATGGACGTAGCTGTTGAACTTGCAGATGGAAAGTTCCATGTTCTTTTTGGATCTTTGATGCACCTCACAAACACACACACAAAAAAAAAAAACAATTTTCTTGAAGTATGTAGTTATAACTATCATCATTGTTGAACCAACCGACAACGTTCCGGTCCAACTATATTGTTTCTATTGTAGTATTAGTTATATATATATATATTTTTTTTAATGTAGTAGTTTGATATTGACTATTTGATGATGATGATGGTAGCAACTGTGAGAAATCCAAGCTCATAGAACACAAGCTGTTAATATTGTTGACAATGATGATGATCATTTGGACTTGCTTTCTTAAATAAACAAAAAACACTAACACTTATATATATAGTCATTAGTAAATGTTGGACATGGTTACGTTTCTTTGCTCTGAATACCTAGGCACTCTCAGTGGTTTCAAGTTCACCTTCACCACCATCAGCGTCACACTCTGTTGCAGGTTCAGCACCATTCTCCTTGGAATCCTTATCCTTGTCATCTCCCCCATCAGAAATCTGTATCGAGGCTGCTGCCTTTTTGAGGTTCGTGATCAAAGAAAGAGAACTTGAAGTTGACTGCTGACATCCCTGAAGTTTGCTCTCACCAGGCTTGTCTGACTTGTCGTTTTTTCGTCAGGAGTTCGCCCACTGCCAGTGCCACTCTTGCGTGTTGCCATGTAGTCGTTGATTGACTTGACAATGCTATCCACATCAGCGGCATGTTGAAGATGGCTTGCCCACTGCTTTCCCCATTCGTGAGAAGCCAACAGAACATCAAAGCAAATCAATGTGGAAGCTGTAGATGAACTTTTTGTGATGGCTTGGTGTAATCCAGTCAGGCAAGCCACTGTGGCTGGTGTCAAGCCAGTGATTTTCATGTCGGGCACGCATGTGAGAGAAGCATTCAGCAAGTGGACCATGTAGTGAAAGCGAAGCCCGGTAAACTTCTCAAGCACGGCAGCTGATTCAAAGACCTAATCTATTCAAAACCAACACACTTGAACACATTGAACAAAGAAAGTATACTAACATCATAACATCGATGGAACAATGAAACATATGAAACTAATCATCGGCGCAGCACTTTGCATTTAAGGTCTATGTGGTAATGTGGTGTTCATCTTACTTGAACGATAAGTATTGTTATTGATGGATTGTTTGTTTGTTTGTTTGCCTTTTGAACAATACATTTAATATTCCATAGCATGTGCACACATTACAGTCACAGTCACTGTCATGCAATGCAAAGCCAAGAAACTTCAGATGTACCTTCCACAAACTCACGGCGAGTAGTAGAGGTTTCGATCACATCTGTTGCAAAGCTAATCCATGCTGGTAGAACCTCCTTGTCAATGTAGCCCTGAAAGAAGCATAGGGCATCGATCAGATCCAACCTCTTTCGTGCACAATCAATGAGCCTAAGTTCATTCAGTTGAGTCATTCAGTATTGCAGCGCATTGCATTGGTTGACTTGACTTGTGTGCTTTGTGTGGTGTGGTTTGTTTTAGCCTCTTAGTTTAGAGCAGGGTTGTGTCTCTATGACTCTATGAAGTGTGTTCCTGATGTTAAGTAAGTAAGTAAGAATAGTAGCAGTTACCATGCTATCAGAACATTCTGAGCATATGACAGTCCACAACATAACATAACAACACATTGACAAATAATAGGTGAGGAGCCCAGCAATACAGAGCTTGACACAATCATGCATCAGTGCAGGTAGCTTGATGTACCGCTTGATGAAGGCCTTGAGAGGCTTCACAACACTGTCATACTTGACATTCATGGTGGTTGCGATTCTCTTGATAACAATATCCTCATCATCTGCCATGATGGTTACAGTGACAGGCTTGTTGACAAAAGTCTCGCATAAGGCCTTTGCCACCTCAAACGCATTGGCACTCTTCTTCTCAGCGTCAGTGGTAGACCCGTTTGTGCTACCAGTGACTGAGCTGACCTTCATGCGGTCGTACACAGCATCAAATGCAGACAAGAAGATTGATTGCAGTTCTGGCCGCACGGATGACCAGACTCTGAGATCTTTTCCGTTGAGACAAATGCGTGCTTCGAAGACAAATTGTAGGTACACTCCAGCCTCAACTAGTTCAGTAACCATGAACAAATGCTAATTCATAAAACAGTCAAACAGGTATTTGAAACAACATCACATGTCAACCTAAGCTGAAAGACATGTTAGCCATTTGGACACAAATCACAAACATTATCATTCATTCAGATAGGTAACGCAGAAATCAAAGGCCGACATGATGCTCTCGTTGGAAACATCTGCCCCGCTCCGAGCCTAGAAACAACTAACAATCACTGATGCCATGAATCTGACCAAAAGTATTTAATCAGCCTTGAACGATTCTAATGAAACATAAATTCAAAATACAATTAAACCTAAGAGTATGAACAAAGAACAGGATTTGTTTGATTTTGTACCTACTAAGAACATAATTTTCTTTCATGTCCCAGCTCTCCTTCACAACCATTTCTGCGTAGTGCATAGCTTGAAGGAAGTCGTCCAAAGCTGTCAAGGACCTAGCACCTGGGTCTTCATCAGGTTCAGCTGATGCTGTTGAGTTCATAGGACTGACAGTCTTCATGAACTTTCGCTTCTCGTCCTGCGTCCATGGAATAAATGCTGGTTTTTTATCAATCTTCTTCAGCTTCGTCTCAGTGTTTGCTGGTCCTTAGTGTATTTGGCTTCGAATACACCACCATAACTAGGACTCTGAACCAAGAAACACACACACATATATATACTTCAGTTATATAACTCATTGACTCATTGACATCAGTCAAGTATCAATATCAGGTAAACAACTAACAACGGTAAACAAGTACATATATATATATGGTCTATCTTTTTTGTTTCAAGCATTTTCATATCCAAAACATATATCAATCAACCACATTATCAAGCATATGAATAATCATATATAATAAATTTTAATAATATTGATTTGATTCAATCATCTCCGAATCATCTCCAAACTACTCGACGACAAAGCTATAGTTATACATGTTACTATGTTACAGTGTTACAATGTTATAAAGATTATCTTGAATCAAGAGCAAGAATCCACACTGTTTGATTGGCTGTTCTGCACCTGCTTCATCTATGTACTCCCCCTGCTCATTCAATTGTTCATCATCTTGGTTCTGATGTGCAGTCGGCTCTGACTGTGCATGTTCAACTTTGGTCTTCTTGCAAATACCCATGGATGACAGTGCTGTTTCCACATCAACTGGTAGAGCTGAACGTTTCTGTGAGCCCTTGCTCTTGTCAGTCTCAGCATCTTGCAGCTTGGCTGATTTGTCTGTCAGCTTCTTGTACACTGTGGAATCTATCATTGGAAGATTGATGAGATTCATCCGAGCTGAATCTGATTCCCAATGTTTGAAGTTCCAGCCGCAAATCCGCTGGCCCATCAGACCACCGCAAGCTTTTGGTACCTTGGCTTTGGGTAGGTTAGAATTGTTTCGTTTAAGCCTTCTACCGGTCGATCATTCTTGATAAATAGATAGTTTCTCCAAATGAACTAAACTGATATGAATTGCAAAATTTGTGCAGTTGTGCAGGTTTGTTACTGTCAGACTGTGGATGTAGTACAATGCAACCTAACCAAAGGAAGAAACATATTATTAGATAAGCGCACTGTGAACATGGAAGCGTGATTGCTTCCAAAATGAAAACACACATGTTCTGCCAAACAAATCTCTAAGAACCCGCATAATGTATACTGTTCAGAGTGTTTTGTGTATTTTTTCTCATAAGGTAAACTAAGGGCTGTACACAGTGCCTGAGCGCATGGGACAGGAGAATACCAGTGTGCTCTTGCTTCCAGTACTTCTGCAAATTCCCAGTGATGAGAAGGGTTAGCTGATGCATGCAGGCTATGACTGCGTTTGGATCCAGATCAGAGTTCAAAAAGTCAACTGTGGAATTGAAGAACTTCTTGAGCTCTTCCCAAATCTTGAACTTTATGAGGATGTGGGTGAGGCTAAGTGCTTTGCGGAAGGGATCCCACTCAGAGAAGAACATGCTTGTTTTCATCACAAAGTCACGGTAGTATGACTTGTATCTTGGATTGTGAGAGTGTAGTCCTGTCCTCAGACACTCATGCTCCCATGATGCCTCAATCTTGATGGTCTCCTGCATGTACTCTAGGAAGTTGGCGGCACTTCCACGATGGAACGTGTTGTGCGCATTGATAAATCTCTCCCAAATTTGCCAAGGAATGTCTGGGTGCACCAGCCTAAGCTAAGCCATACATTCAGCCACAAAACACAAAATCACAAATCAGAACGATGACTCATGATGACTAGTATAACTTCCAGCTTACATGTTTTACTAGTTACAGGTTACAATGAACTTATGAACAAAAGTAACATTGACATATGACATAGTGTTGGTGTCGAAGTAATGATGCAATTGAAAAGTCAAGTTAAATAGTCAATGACAACAACTATGACAGACCACCACCACATAACAACTATCAAGAAACTTTACGGAACGAAGCCCACGATCCATGACTGAGCTGACATTCAAGTTGTGCGGCTGCTCTGACATGGCACGGTAGCATGCTTCCAGCCTGTGATTCCATGTTCCCGATTCTATCGGAAACTTGCGCTCTGTTGTGCGAAATTTGAAGACTGGCTCGCCTGCACATAGAGAATCAGAATATGATGGTGATTGATTGAGTAGCTTCTTGATCCTACGTAGCATACAGTATTTATTTGAATCTAGTTTCTTTTCTCTCAGTGTAACTTAGTTTATCAACTTGTGTTCCAGCTACAATTGTCAAGCTAAATGTTAGATGGCAAACCGCTAAAGCAAAGTGCATACAGAAGCAAAATCAACAATAATCAAAATGTAACACTAAACAGAGTAACGACTTTGCAGCGAATGACCAACATATCACAACATGTCCCTGCCTGCTGCAACCTGTGATATTGATTCCAGGAAGATCCTCTTCTTGTACGACTCCACGGTAGATTCTTGCAATTCCCTACTCAATGGACTCTTGACAACTGCCCTTGCTTTCTGTGGCAAGTTTGTTGACTCAGAACCTTGAGGTATCTCACTTGGTGTGTAGAAGAAAGGTATATCTTTTTGCCCATCTGAGTAGTATGCTAGCACATGGTCAAGCAAAGCCCCTCCAGACAATGCAGCATCTTCTCCCCACAGCTGCTCAACAGTCAGGTTGGGGTCATAGATATTCACGCCACTTGACGCAACCTGATCTGGACTGATTCCCTTGAGAAGGCCTTTGGATCTGTGAGGTTGATCAGGTTCTACATCAGCTTTCATGCTCTCCATGGAAATGTTTCCCTGATCACTCAGAGACACACGGGCTTGGCTAGAGATCACAGTGTGTTTACCTGATGACAAGCTGTGGCCAAATGGCTTACAGATCTCGCACTCGTAGTTATTGAACAAGATGTGATACAAATCTGACACAAAGTAGCAAAGCACTGACTATCAATATCAAATATATTTAAGATCCAAACTTGTGTGATGCGCTGACTGTTCAGCTATCTAATGTGTCTTCCAAACAAGAGTTCACGCAATACAATAACTGATCTAGATATTCTCAGCAACAACGAATGAACGCTCAGGCTGAGGTCAAGCTTTTTTGTTCCCACTTCACAAGGTTCGATCAACTGACTACCCCTTGATCGGCCCTGGATGATGAAGACGATAAAGGTTTGCCGGCATCCAAACCACATCATCACCTGATCACAGTAGATGAGTCTGACAAGCTTAGAACTTCGAACTCAATCACATCGTTTGTTCCAATGTTTCCCTCAGTGCTTCTGTCAAAGTTGAGACACAGAGACTGACACTGATAAGAATCAATAAATATCAAACATCTAATAAACTTACATCACGTTGTTCGCCATCTCATGTTGTTCCATTATGCCCGCAAAGACAACCACATCAGTGCCAGGCCCAGAACCTATACTAAACAATTTTGAGTAGCACAAGATTGTCAGTCTGCTTGACATCACTACATTATGACAAATATGCAATGCACACACACACATATGTCCTGGCACTGTAGGTGGATTTGAATTTGCACTTGCAATCGACTCTTGCTGCCACACAATGTCACTGCATGTGTGCAACCGCCAACTCACACAATATAGACTTGGTTTGCAGTTTGGCAGCAACAATGGCAAGTCAAGTCAATTATATCATACATTGATTCCTCTAGCCTGGAAATCCTGTGTGTACTGTGCAATGCTTAGGCTCAGAGGAAACTAAATCGCTGGTGATTGGCCTCCGCCACATCACGCTGAGGAATCTTGCCACGAAGACGAACCATTGAAATTCTGGTAGTGGTTTCGTCATTCTCAAGTGATCGCTTTCTAGAAGTTCTCACTTTGGACCTCACTTCATGAATTGTCTTGAACAAAGGACATACTGGCTTCAAAGGAATCTCCACCAGAGTAAACAGTTGGATCAAAGCCATGGCAGCAAGGTGCATGGAGTTGCCAGCTTGAGCACATACGTGCCTTCCAACACGGTTGGAATTTTTCAAGCTGAACACCGAAAGACCATCTGCAGAGTTGTGGATGAACGGAATCACAGGAAATCCTTGACACATCAAAGTTTCCGTAGCTGTCAACCACCTTGGCGGAGAAGATGTGTCTGACCATACAATGCCACAGTTGTTGATCAACGTGAACATAGCGTGCTCACCTGCCTTGTGTCCATGTCCTGAGCTGGGGTCTTGGTTCAGCTGATATGCAGTGTTGGGCCAAGCTCGACGGTACTCTTCCAGAAACCTCTTCTCACTAATTGTCAAAGAATCCTCCCACACCGTAGCATCAAGAAGATCAATGGGCTCTTCCAAAGCTCCAGCCTCACATGTTGGCCTGTTCCTTGCCCATTGGAGATCATTCTCACACTCTTGTTCGATGACACCTTTCCCTTGCATTTCTGGCAGATGCATCAAGAACATCTCTTTCCAAGACCATGCGCATGCTCTGTAGAAGCGCTTCTGAAACCTAGCCAGCGGAGAAATCTGTGGCAAACACTTTTGTTTGTGATGCATGATGATGAACTCTCGCTCTCTGCTGAAAGGGTATCCCAGCAGTGCTGGATCCAAGATTGTGGTTTCCAAGTAGTAATGTGGACCCAGAAAGCGAATGATGAGATTGCCAAGGCCTGCATCATAGACCGGTGCAGGCTGACTGCAATCCTGTTTGATGAACGTAGACATAGTAGCGCCTCCGGTTGTCTTCACATTCTCTGAAACCACAATGGGTTCTTGTAGCTCTAGTCTCAAGCCGATCCAAGCAAGCGTGAAAATGGTTTCAGGATCACCCTGAGACATTTGAGATCCTTTCTTGCTGTATGGTTTACAGCTACAACCAGCCACATGTCGTGTAGCTTGCTTTAGGCAGCAAATCCGATTGTGGGTGCTGCAAAATGCTTCCTTCTTCATTGCCTTGCATGAACTCAATAGAGGTCCTATGACCTCTACAGCAAGATGCGGTCGATTGAGCAAGTTGTTGATAGTGTCAGAGACCTCATCCCGAAAGAAGAGCTGAATGTTGCTGAACAGACATGTATCATGAAGCAAAGCGGTTTCTTTCAATTCCTCACCGCAGTGTGTGTTCCACTCGATCTGATGAAGTACTCGTTGAAGCTTCAACTTAGTTCCCAATTTGCGACCCCAATAGTAGCGCAAGCAATTCATAGCACTTCCTGCTGCCTCTATTCCGCTAAATGCTGTAGACATAGTGTCATCATCCTGAAGAGTGTCGAGAAGCTTTGCCAGCTTGTCATCAGCCTCTTCTTCCATCAAGGTTTGCAAACAATCTTCATAGAAGAGATTGGACTCTGCCAAAGATGAAACAATCTTTTTGGAGCGGTCCGGTGCTACCTTGAAGGTTGCTGGTAGTGAATCCCATGGTGATGATGTTCCGCTTGTCACATGTGTTTGTGATTGCGGATCTGATGACTCCGACGTTGACTGATCTTTGACATTGGTTGGTTGTGATGCTTTCTCATCATTGACTTCAATCCCAGGTTGAAACGAAACTGAGACTGTTGAGTCATGTGCCACTTCAGTTGTAGCTGCACATTCACCTTCAACTTGAACTTCAATCTGTTGGCTAGTGTCCAACTCTGTGTCAGCTGCTGGTGTAGATGCCGATGCCGATGCTGAAGTGGTGGTTTTGTCATTGTCAGCGTGATCAGTCTGTTTGGTGTCAAGCTGTGTCTCTTTGTCGCCGGCATATTCAACATGATCCTTATCACATTGAGCATTGTCATTCTCCATCTCAATGCAAAGTTCTTCTAGTGCTTCTTCAAGTGTTTTGTCGGCAGCAGCTGGCTCAGAGGTGATCATATCGTTCTTGTGGGAAGAGATGTTGTCGTTGCTGTCAGCCCCTTTCACACTACAAGCTGTGGATCCTTCTGATACTTGTACTCGTTTGAGTAGTGGAACGATTTCATCCCGAGACAAGCTGAGCCAGATGTCCTTACCAAAGTTTTAGTTGATAATATCTAAAATACAAAAGGAAACCTAAACAACAAAAAAACAATATAAGGTAGGTGTTTGGTTCTAATTGCTAATTGATTTATTAACCAAACTGATTTGTTAAATTGTTAACCTATGTGTTGTTATGTTTGTCAGTTCTTAGTTGTTTGAACTGTAAAATATGGTTGCAAGTGTTGATGCAATCAGTAATGAGTGTCATAGAAGTTATAATAGCGTAAAATAGAAAACAACTAAACATTTACTAAACAATCAACAAAATGCTTGGTCCAATCCTGACGTTGATGAGGATGGAAATGACTTGTAGTTCTTGATGACATGTGGCTCAACTATATGCTTCAACTTGATCTCCCAAACCGGCACAAACTTCTTGTTGGCATCCAGCAAGAGCCGAGATCGAAGCTTGTTCAGTGCGGTCTTTGAAGTCGGCAGGCCATAGCCTTCTTTGGTACCACCCAATTGTAGTAGCTTTTCATCACATAGCCTTCTGTTGGATACAAAGGAAATCACAGCCACAAAGTCTATTCCAGCGCCGGCACAACTGGAGGCGCCAGCATCAAAGAATGACTTAGGTGGTGCGATCTGTTTGCTAAGCAAGCAGAACTCAGTATCTTTGCTCAACAATCGTGCTTGAAAAGGCATTGGAATGTATTGTTGATGTCCATCACATATCATTCTTGAAGTGGAAGAGTCCACCACAACACCAGCATAGAGGAAGTTAGATGAAGATTCCATGGCTACAGCAGCAAGGTTGTGCGCACGCAAACTCGACAACAACACACATACAATTGAACTTGAACTTCAAGTATCAATGCAATAATATATATATATGTGATATATTTATATATATATATGCTTTGTTGTGTTTGCTTGTGTCAATGTTCGTCAGTGCTAGTATTGCACTAGCAAAGAAACTAATCCTAAAGCGTGATTGCCACCGTGATTGCAGCAAAGTTGACATGCATAGACTCCATAGACTGAAATTAGTTGCAATAAATTTATATCACAAAATGACAAAAAAACAAATAAATTCTGATTGATCTGAACACTCTGAACACTGAATGACAAAAATGTTTGCAATCATCCTGGCCTCGTGACTTTGTTCACGACATTGATACATCCTGTAGAATGTTATCCTTAGCCAGAAAAAAATGCTGATCAGTTCTTTAAGCTAATACATATAACATGCTTCAAACATCCTACCGATCCACCAGTAACTAATGACATTCTATTTCTCTAATGACATTCTGACCTCCAGTAGTGATCCACCTCACCACCTACCCTCTCTAGTGGTGACCCAGCTCACCACCTACACTATCTAAGGACCTCCAGTGATGACCCAGCTCACCACCTACCCTACC